ATATTAAAAGTTTCTGTGTAACTTACGTTTGTTCAAAATATTATCGAAAGTTAGGTCAGCTTTATTGTCGAATGTGACTAAATTGTATTATTTATCATTGTTTACTGTATAGAGATCAATGTTGCTTTCTACTTCATTAGTCAGTGGGAATATTTATTTAGCGTGTTGATCGAGATTGGGATATACTAGCTGAAAAATTTCTTCAATTTCAGAAAAAAATTCCATAAGAAACATATCTGATAGTGATAACTATGCTAAGTGTATTTCAATAATTTAATAATTCCCATTGTAATATCAAGAACAAGATATTCAGCGAAGAGACTCTTTTCAACGGTTTTTTTAAAAATCTATACATTCCCATATATATAAATATATATGTAACATTTGAAAAATTATATCCCATGAATAAAATTAAACACTATGTAACGGTGATGACAATATTAATTAAATGGATGATTATCCAGGTGTTTGTGATTATTATAACATTAGAAGTATGAATGATAACACAGTGAATTATATAATGTGTGGAATGGTTCACAGAAGGTATATAACTGAGGTGAAAGAAATGTGGGTGAAAGAAATGTCGGAAGTTGTAAATCAACTAAGTATTACGCAATAAGATTAGACAAGTTGGTCAAGATGAAATCAATGTTTTCTTAAAAGATTAAGATAATTTAGTGAAGTAACACCGGAAACTAATAAGTGTGAGGGCAATTATAGTAACAATAATAGTGATAAACGAAGGATACAATGGTTAAATTAACAAAGGGGTAGGGAAAAATAATGACGATGGGAAAATGTTTTGGTTATAGTAAAACACAATGACGGTTAATACTTTTTTTTGTAGACACAGATTAGGTTTTAGTTCATGAATAGCTAAGGCTTTTACTGTTTTGTGAGATGAAAATGAAGAAAACGTGGGAGGTTTGAGCGAATTTGATAAACAGTTTTAAAGTCACTGACTGGGTGTGTTGAGTTATGAGAACCAGTCTAATTTTCTAGCACAGAAATTTCAACAGACTTTCTTTCACCTTTATAAAACCAAACTTGAACATGTTGTCATATACGATTAGAAAGCATTCTGTGATTACGGTCGATGTAACTTACTGTACAAGGGATTGTGAACTGTTTACTCTTATTGGATAATAATACTTAACTGATTTTTCATTTTCACCAATTTTTTCACTCCCTTCTCAGTTATATATCTTCTATGAACCATTTCATGTAGTACGCAACCTACTTTGTTATCATTCTTGCTTCAAATGTTATTATAAACACGGATACCCATATCACAATCCATGTCATTATTATGGTCATCATTTTCATTAGTTTTCCTCCCGAGATATAATTTTCAAAATCTCATATATATATATATATATATGTATACGAATGTAAAGCTTGAAAATGAATTCATTGAAAAAACTTTTATGAATATAAGGCTAAGGCTTGAGCATTCCAGTAGGATGTAATTGCTTACTAGGTTGTTTATTTGGTATACAAGAAACAGTTGTTCAGTATTATTCACTTGATGACGTTTCGAGCAAAAATTATTGCTCATAATTATATCATAATCAAATCGTCATCCTGAGTTAAAAATCTTTTCAGTTATTCCAGATTAGTAATAGAATAATTTATATACCTTATATCTTTGAGAAAAAAATTATTCAGAAGAGAAAAATTAGACGAAATCAACAAATAGCCTATGAAAGTTACAGATCATTGATAAGCCGAACAAGTGATTTCTCTTAATAGAATTATTTGATGTTATTCTTATTCAGTTCCGCTTTGCTGATGAAAACTTCATTCAACCGTATTATAATAGCGAATATTTCTCCTCCTTTTTAGGCATAAAACAAAACAATGTACCTTTTCAACGGATTTATTGCCCTGCGCGTCCTAAAGTGAAGATAAGATACCGTTTTTTCTTTCTACCTCGGACGCATAACTGATGTATATTAAAGCAGCTTTCATCTCTTTTCAGTTGACTAAAATGACATGCAGATCGTTGAGTAAAAGAGGTATAGTTTTGATTATACATGATTTCATAAAAAGTGTACAGGAAGAGAAAATAGTGACAGCTGAAAAAGTATACACTTTAGTTACATTTTAAGGTTTCAACCTGTACTGATCTGTTTGACAGAACGTTTGTTCTAACGAAATTGTGAAATGGTTGTAAGAGAAAGACTTTATTCTATTAGTTTAAGATATTCCGTTTAATGTTCGGTCATTCGGAACACACCATTCAGTCAATATTGTATTAGGAAAAATATTTTACTTTGGAACTGTTACCTTAGATCCAAGAATAAACGCGGAACCCGAGATAATTACCTAAATAAGAAGAGATATGTTATTCGCGTACAAAGAACGGCAGTGCTTTTTGTCAAAGCCGTAGCATACAAATAAAAATGGCAATATATTTATGTATATATATTGTGTTATTTATGAGTGTAAGCTCTGCATGTGTGTGTGAGTGGATTTCCGAAGCTGGGATAGAGTTGATACAAATGATATTTTTCTGTTGGTAAATCACGATCTAAACGTTCCACATCCGGTGCATATCGTTTTCATTTCTGATAATGATTTTTTTGAGATGGACAACATTGCCAGAACATTCAGAATAAGCGTTGTTATCTCAAAGATATTACTGTAGTCTATGACAATGAATGATTTATACTTACAGCTTTGAGGAAACATCATTTAATCACTTGGAGTGTGAAGTCATATAGATTATTCAAGTAAATTGGTTCTGAATATGCAGTACATAGTTTTGGGGTAACATAACTGTTCCATGTTGCGTTTCATATTATATTTACATTAATTAACCATATCATTTTCGAGTACTCTACGAAAGTATTTATTGAAAATTCAAGAATAGACATGAAAACGAGGTTTTTTTATACAGAAATAGGTCAAAGAATAAAATAATTGACGAATAATGGCCAGTAATTGGATACAAATTATAGACTTCACCTACTACGTGAATTCAGTAGAACCTATATTTCAGTTTTAATGCATAGAAATGTGGTATTTTATTCATGACAATCAATATTCGATATACTACAAAATTCAGATAGTTTAATCATGTAGTATCTACTACTTACAAAACGTTTGATCGTTAGATGAATGAATAATGTTTAGATACAAGTTTGTAGGAAATAAAAAAAAATCAGCCACTCAAAAATATATTACTATTTTTTCTTGATAACATGTTATTTAATTTTGTGCTTATTATGCATTAGAAAATGTTTTTTTCCTATTCCTCTTGATAATTATCTCTAAAGGAGTAGTTGTGACAGACGCATAGTATATGGTAAGGTAACCACGTCCAGTATTATGCATGGATTCATTCATCTCTACGAACAAGATATGAAGTGAATCATTCAGCTTACCGATTGTCTTTGAGGTGTCTGACATGAAATATTGAACCTCTATCAGGAGTGAGTTAGGAACAATAGATAAGAACATTAAATAATTTCGAGATTCAGGAATATTAACAAATCTTAAGGAAGTATATTTCAGCGAAATTAACGACATAGAAAGACAGTCGAAAATGATTATCGTTTGTTGCTCTCATAGCTTTGAAGTTCACTCTTGGACATTTTATCCCCATTCTATGTGACTTAATTAACATTTACTTCATATAGAAGTAAAGCATTTTCAAGATTTATAAAAATATTTATGAAGTAAATTTGCTGACCCTTAGAATCATTTTGTGGGCAGGCTTGACCATTATGGTTTTATTGTTATCATCTAACCCATGTCACTGATCTAACCTCTGACTACTAATTTGTTTGATAGGTTTCTAGTTGTTTGACACTTTCTTAGTAGTCCGTATATTGGGTCACTGTCCACACAACACTTGATTGTCATTCGGTTGAAGTGCCATGCGTCTAGGAATACTCTTGGAGTTTGTGAGCACATGTGTCGTATTATTTCCACTCCGTCTCAATTTTAGTAATATTCGTGTTCATATATATGCATTGATATCAATGAAGATCTATCATACCATTTGACTGCAAGTTAGTGATTATAAAATATTTTGCGTATTCAGTGACTGAAGTGACCAACATGGTGATGTTGACAGCCCTCATAACTAATTTCGTAGATTGTATTAACCCTGTATTCTTTATTTAATGGATCATCATCTCTGCATAAGATGTTTTGCAGGGATACCTTCTGTGCTCCGGTGATACCGAATGGGTGGGATAGTTGCTTGGCAGTTTCTGAGACATCTACGACATATGAAAGGTGATTCATTTGTAAATTGATTTATATGTCCTGATATGTGTTCTGATAATAGACACATTTTAATGGAATCGACTGGGTAGTCATTGGCTCAACACTATGCAAAGTCGGCTTTCTTCAGAATTCAACAGTTACTGAGTACTTCAATGAATAATGCCAAGTGAAAAGAGTGATTGTATATATCTCATCTTTTGAACCAGGTTGTTACTATTGAAGTTCAAAACTTCATCTGCGTGTCACCTTATCTAACGCTAGTCTGTAGGATCCACCAAGCTTTCTTCCAATAAGCTTACCTCTAAGCTGTGTCGGCTAAAAGATCCGATAGAACCAATTAAGCAAAATAATATAATCTACCAAATTCCATGTAATGACTGTGAAGTCAAATACATAGGTCAAACTAGCCGGTCGGGGTCAGTTAGATTAACAGAACATAGGAATTTAGCTAAACATAGAACGACAGACCCCAATAAGATCAATAACCTAGAAAAACACTCAGCCATTGCATTACATTCATTAACACACAACCACACAATAGGATGGGACAAAACCACTGTACTTAAGTCTAATATAGCTAGGTGGAGAGAGAGATTAATTACTGAATCTTTGTTCATCGAATCCACACCCAACACATGTAATAGGAATGACGCAACACCTATACCAGAGATATGGAAAACTTTACTACCAATCAAAAAACAAAAAACAAAGAGAGATCAGGTGACAGGACTATAAAATCAGATGTCGAAAGAAGTGTGATTACATTGATATGATTATGAGCAATAATTTATGCTCGAAACGTAATCAAGTAAATAATACTGTATCACTGTGCGCTTTATATCAAATAAACAAATCTAATATGGAACTACATTCTACCACAGTGCCCAAGTTTTTCACTTATATTAATGAAACTTATGGTCTTCCTGTTCGAAGGCTAATCAATAAACTCACACGACTTTCACAAACTGAAGCACGTTTCACAAATCATCGTATTTTCAATATTCGTTGCATGAAAAATCAAATTATCCCTAAATACCTTCGCATACGAATCCCAATATATACTGACAAAATCCAAAGGGCAATAGAACATGTCAGCAAACTATGTCTGAAAGAAGAAATTCACAGGATTATTAAGAAATTAAGTACCATTCGGAATAAAATTGAACAACTTAAATGTAAAATTATGAAGATAGTAAACTGCAGAGACTATGGATTTATAATAGAAACATCAGACAAAGCAAGATTAGCTACTCTCAAGAAATCTAGAAGAAATCAAATCAAAAAGTTCAATAAACTAATGCAAGAAAAATATGCTTCGGAAAACAATGAAATTACAAAGGAAACATCATCGAACATCGATAGAACAAAGTGGGTAGTCAATCTCTCCTCGAAAGCCTTAAGCTCAGCTGAGATGAAAGTACTTGAAAAAGGACTAAACTTCAACATAACAGTAGATCATCTAAAACCAGAAGATGTCATACCTAGCATAGAAGTAGCATTAAGCTCGGTGGATGTGACAACTGCTGAACAGGTTAGAGCGCAGTGTGCATTAGCACTTAAAAAACAAAAGAAGACACAGCGAAACTTAACGAAACTGGAAAATTCAGCTTTAAACAATCTACGAAAGGATAATAGTATAGTAATTGCTAAATCTGACAAAGGTAACTCAACAGTAGTTATGGACAAATCGGATTATCTTAAAAAAATGGATGAACATATCCAAACAGGGCCATATGAAGAGATTAAGAAACCTATAGATACTGTCATGAATAAAATTAAGAAATCTACAACAGATCTGATACGCCGACTGAAGCCATCTCTAGGTAAGTCCGAATGGTTTACTTTAATGCCAAAAACTAATAATCCTAGCAGAATTTACGGTACTATTAAGGTTCATAAAGCAGGTTATCCCATTAGGCCGATAGTTGACTTCCGAAACACACCAACATATGAGATATCAAAGTATTTAGCATCAGTATTACGTCCTGTTAGAGACCGTTCCAACTCTAGACTAGTAAATTCTTACGAGTTGAAACAAAAACTTAATGACCTGCACATAGAAGAGGATGAAAAAATGGTTAGTTTTGACGTAACAAGTCTTTATACTAAAATACCAATCAATATGGCACTGGAGGCAGTCAGAAATCAACTAGATACTGACTCACAACTTACTCAAAGAACCAAGGCATCGGTTGGTGAAATCATGTTAGGAGTGCAGTTATGCTTAACCTCGACAGTCTTCAAGTTTCAGGGAAAGATATACAGACAAACAGAAGGAGTAGCAATGGGATCACCAATATCCCCTATAGTAGCAGATATATTTATGGATAGTTGGGAAGATATGGCTTTACGAACATATAATCCGACACCTAAGATATGGTGGCGATATGTAGATGACACATTTACAGTGTTGAAATCGGAACATATCGACAGTTTCTTGACACACATAAACTCAGTAGTTAACGCAATCCAATTCACCTACGAAGTAGAAAATGAACAAGGAGAATTACCTATGTTGGATTGCAGAATAAAACGAAGGATAGATGGTGGTTTAGATACTACCGTCTACAGAAAACCAACACATTCTAACAGGTATCTAGACTTCAAGTCATCTCATCCAGTGTCAGTTAAAGCGGGTTTAGTCAAATGTCTAAATAACAGAGCTGAGAAACTCACTAGTCATTGTAAGGACTTAAATAAGGAATTGAAACACATAAAAGAAGCGTTAATAACTAATAATTATCCCCATCATTTTATTAAGAAATTCACACGGACGCATAAGAAGCAAAATAATAACACTAATACAAATACAAATAATAGTGACAACATAAGTAGAAAGGAAATCAGCACCTCTATTGTGATACCATACAAGGAAGGAACATCAGAAACCATACGTAGGATTCTCAACAAGGTTGGAATTAGGGTGGCATTTAAACCAACAAACTCACTTAGAGGTAAGCTGTGTCGGCTAAAAGATCCGATAGAACCAATTAAGCAAAATAATATAATCTACCAAATTCCATGTAATGACTGTGAAGTCAAATACATAGGTCAAACTAGCCGGTCGGGGTCAGTTAGATTAACAGAACATAGGAATTTAGCTAAACATAGAACGACAGACCCCAATAAGATCAATAACCTAGAAAAACACTCAGCCATTGCATTACATTCATTAACACACAACCACACAATAGGATGGGACAAAACCACTGTACTTAAGTCTAATATAGCTAGGTGGAGAGAGAGATTAATTACTGAATCTTTGTTCATCGAATCCACACCCAACACATGTAATAGGAATGACGCAACACCTATACCAGAGATATGGAAAACTTTACTACCAATCAAAAAACAAAAAACAAAGAGAGATCAGGTGACAGGACTATAAAATCAGATGTCGAAAGAAGTGTGATTACATTGATATGATTATGAGCAATAATTTATGCTCGAAACGTAATCAAGTAAATAATACTGTATCACTGTGCGCTTTATATCAAATAAACAAATCTAATATGGAACTACATTCTACCACAGTGCCCAAGTTTTTCACTTATATTAGAGAGACATTTCCATGAAATATTTTGCAACGGAGTTCAGATATGAGTGAAAATCAGATTACAAGAGAAATTACGTAATGTTTGAAACAGTAATGAGAAAAAGACTTGCCAAGATCGGACTAATATTTGGTTACTAAGTTCAATAATGTAACATGGTGAATGCGAATAGAAATCAGAATTATTGGAGTGGAGGAGTGTAATGTGTGAGAGGATCTGAATGAAGAGATTTTTGAATGTAGAAATGTTCTGACAAGTTATATCCATTGCAACTCTTTCGACCGCAGAGTTCAGGCTTCAAAATATTAATTGCGATGGCTTCCACATTTTGAAGGAGTTTTCGGTGTACACCTCTCGTGAGATTTGTGCGAACTCCACAGATGACACTAAAGCCGTTTTCTGCACTTATCGGGTGGTCATAATCGGACAGATGTTCTAGAACAGAGCTATGAACTGTTCTCCTTTCCCCATTGTAGAATCAGGCTAGCATGTGTTCGGAAATGTGCTTGGAAATCGAACGCTGAGCACGGCTGACATACCTCACTCCACAGGAGCAGGTGAATTGATAAACACACATCGAGGTGGCCAAAGGAGCAAGTTTATCCTCTGCACATAATCGAAGCATTGGGTAAGTGGAGACAGTTGGTTTGAGTTTTGCAGCATAGAACGGCCTTCTCAATGAGCATATCAGACGGTTTCTTAATATCTCTGCCCATGTGTCTCCTTTGGACCGTAAGCTCATGAAAAGAAACTTCTTAGGAGTCGTGTGGGCGATATCTTTATTCACTTTCAGTTTCATTGCTTTGGCGATGAAACGTTCAGGATACTGATTTACAATCAGGATATTTTTAATAAAATTTAGTTCATCTTCCAAAGTACCCAGACTGCAGTTGGTGCGGATCCTTTGGCATAAAGAGAGAATTAGATTTGTTTTGGTGCATAGTGAAACACAAGTGTGAAAATTCGTTAGTTGTCTATTCCATGTGGATTTTCTGTGGATAGATATTTCTAGTAATCCATTGTCTCGTATATTTAACTGCACGTCTAAGAAGGGTGGGCATCTTAGAATTAAGTTCCTTTTCTAATGCGAATCTGATTGAATGGTGGCAGTTATTAAATTGAAATAGGTTATCTTCCAGATTATCCATAGTATTGGAGATGATGAAGGTATCATCTACGTATCGCTTATAAAAAAGAACCGGTGGGTTATTCTGCTTAGGTGTGTGTTCTCTAGCTTTGACATGAAGAGGAGATGTGAAATTTGTGCTTTGTTTTGAACAACGAAATCGTCTACTTTTTGCTGGGTTTCTACCGTTGAAAGCCAGGTTACTTACTACTGAAGATACGTATATGTAGAAAACTTACACCTTTACATGTAATGGCTTAGTATTTATCCTTCAAAAATAATAATATTTAGGATGGAAAGATAACTTTTTTATGTGGGTATTCAGTTAATTATTTTTTGTAGAGCTAAAAAGAGGATTTGGTAATAAATAACGTTTCCTGCAATAAAGAGATGCTTTTATTCTCCTTATACCTTTCAGGATACGTAATGTGAGATAAATAAATTTATATTATGAGTGAAAAATATTTTTTGATTGATAGTTATTCACTGTTGGAATGTGAATAGATAAATGTTAGCAATTTCATACTGTGCAGTTTAAGTTATATTCAGTATGTATTGAAGCTATTTATACTGCTGAATGATGTAAGAAAAACAAACACTTAATTATTTACTAAAAATAATATACTGCGTTAAGTCATTCATGATTTCTCACTGTTTAGTATCCTTGTGGATAAAACACTGAGTGTGAAGTGATTTATTCTATTTGAATAACGTTAAGGTATCGGTTATAAAAGTTTGGAATATATTGTAGTGTTGTATTGTAGTTGGTGTAAAAGTGAAGTTAATGTACACATGGAAGTGAACTTTTGAGTTTCACGTTTAGCCTTCTTTAGACTGCATGTAAAAACATTGCCGATGTTTACACATTTCCTTTTAATGTTATCCTAATTTGAACAGCTCATGATACAAGTCAGTCAAATTTGTATTTTCTGTTGTATGGATAGTTTTGAAACTGTTTTCACAGAATCTTAAAATAGACTTTGACAGTCTGTGGACAGGTTACTGAATCATCAATTGAAAGGATATTGTTCTGCTTAGCTGAACCGACAAACAACGTGAAAGAGAAGTGACAAATTGGGAGAAAAGAGTTTTTGACGAAAGTCTCCAACTTCCTCAATTTCAGGAAACATGTTACTCCTTCAACACGTTCAGCAACCTTATCGACTCAAGATTAGCATCAATAAGAGGTCATTTTCTGTGAAGTAGTCTTGTTAGCAGTACACGACCTAATAAATGCGGACAAGTAGAATATTGAATTAAATTAGTTGTACACAACATCAAGTTGAGATGAAGTCGTTGAGTTGAACAAATGTGTCACAATAGTCAAAAAATATCAGAAGCCACTGTGGGTAAACAGATCCGACTGATGACATTAAAGACTTTGTGAATGATCAGGAATTTTCTTATGAGAAGTGAACAAAGCAAAGTTTCTAACAAAAATTGTTTAAACCTACAATAACGTTGAGACAAGTTCAGGTTCCTTACTGTAGCAAAATTCATTAGGCAGTTAAATGGGAGGGAGAGATATTCATGAAGAATTACAAATGTTACAATGTCAAAAGACGGTTAGCGACTATCTGTTTTTCAATGTGTAAACTGAGTTGAATACTTCTGGCTCTATGTTCATCCACTAAGCATGGTAGAAGAATAAGTATTCATCTTCTTATAAATGCCTTCCTTTGATATCACTTATCTACCACACAGTGGACTATCTTACTAACAAGCAGCTGGGAACGACTGAAATGTGTCTCCCGGTGAGAATGTGAATACAATTTGTCTTTCTACACTCTTCGTGTACTTATTACTGTGTTTATTTGAATTATGAGAAGTGGTTAGGAAACCGATCCAGAAAGCTGAGTGAACCGTACCACACGATGCTACACCCTCCTCGACACAGTCACTTAATGGCTGAATTTCAGCAAGAAGGAGCTGTCTAAGGAAATGAAAATCTACTAAAAGGGTAAATTGTTAACCGAAACCAAAAATTCATTCCAATTTATGTTATAAATCGATTTAGGTGAAATTCATTTAATTGTTCACTTGTTTTAGGTTCAGATAATGTTGATTCCTGATCATGATATTTTGATGAGTCAGATAAAAAATGTTTGAAATTGTATTTAAAGTCATAAAAAATCTGGATGAGGCAAGTAAATACTTTCAAATGACTTCTTCTCTAGGTTGTGTCGTCATATGTTGATACTGTTGAATCCATGAATAATATCACTTTCAGAACAGTGAGATTTCCTACAACACTCAGTTATTGGTGCAATATAATCTAAAAATCCTCTTCAGAAATGACTTATGTGAAGGATGATGTCCAGATTAAATATTATTTGGATCCAGTTCACAGAAATTGTTTACGTAACACCAGGATTTTAAGGGAATCATGTTCACTTCGATGACGATATTTATCACAATAAACTCTACCATCATCAAGGAGTAAATGAAACGTCATGGATTGTTAATGTAAAACCATATCCAATCAGACATTTTCCATCGAATTCTTTCATTTCAATTTGTTTTAATCACTTAAGTATGTCATTGGGACGCGTCATGTACCCTTGCCCAATTTAAACTCTTTCCAACTCTCCGTCTGTCGGGTCAGTTTCAAGGCAGAGAAAAAATTTTACGTCATATGGAAACGGATTTTCCGGTGCAAAAACTATATCATATTTCTATCCATCAGATGCTTAGCTTGAAGTTGTGGATTTTTGTACCATCTGAATGAACCGCCACCGCCAAAATTACACTTGCATTTTTGTTGGTACTTCATTATGGACCGTATGTTCATCCAGAACCAGCTGGCTGTTTCATAGTATTGGCTCGAATACTGTTATTATTAACATCAGGCAGACGGAATAACCCTTTCGTCCGAAAATATTGTTCTGGGAGAGAATTTGTTGAGAAATTACTTGCTGAGAATTCCATACTGTCATACATATTTTTTGTAATAAAGCTATTGTTATTATTATTATTGTTATATTAACAACGACGACAGAACAAAGACCGGGAACCATTTGTACACATGTAGTGAATTTGATGAAACTTAAGATTACAAGAAACGAGTGAGGGAATATGTGTGTTCACATTTGTATTCATACGCTTGTTCAGTTGTGTACGAAAGCATGATTTAATAAACAGAAATAGCTAATTTGAAGAATACTGGTCTATCAATGACACCGTAAAATGTACGTGGTTTGGCAGGTTGGTATTATGGAAGGGTCACCCAACTCACAGCATTATGCGAACTAGTGAACGCAGCGTACCCGCCTTTGGGCTTTAGCAAATGAGCTAACTGTTCCACCTACTGGGCAGATATTTGCTTCTCTCCAGTCAACAATTGTGCCTAGTTACTCAGTTGGTATGGTTTTCAACTTCAAACTCACCCCTTATTAGTCAGGCTAGTTTGATAGAATATAGCATATTTGTAAGAGGAACCAATAAGCCAAGAGAATATGATTACATTCTTGCATGTATAAGGGCTGAGTGAATATGTAAAGCGTTGAAGTTAGAAAATGGGCTACATGCGCTGGAACACTGAGGAAATAGTTGCTGGCAAATCTAAATTAAAAAACCTTTAAGTTCATAATCATCAATATTTAACTAGCATGCCAAAGTATTTCTCTGTTTTTCAGCAACGAATCTCCTCATACTCATTCTCCTTGTTTTTCTACAGTGTTACCCCACAGTCTTTCAAATACAACAGTTAAACGTCTCTTTTTTTAACGAGTTCTTGTTAGGTTTCTCTTAGCATTTGATGGATTCTCATATCTGTTTGCCCACCAGTTCACAAAATCCTCATCACATACAAGTGGAAATAAGCTGTATGTTGTAACAAGCACGTGTAGCTTATTTTCAGTCATACATTCATGAAAAAGTAAGTTAATAAATTTATGTCTGCTACAGTGATAAACTTCGAAGGATCTTCAAGAATAGATAAAGGAAAATGAAAACAAGTCGTTCAAAGAATACCTTCTTGATGTTTGACGCCAAGGAAATGAAACGTTGAGTTTGATTCAGCTTTTAGTGTAAATTTGACCGAAGTGTGTGTTAGTGAAATGTTAGGTCTAAGTTGCCATTACATACGATGAAGGCATCGTTCATGTATCGTTTGGATACATGAGGTTGACCATTTGTTAGGAACAGTGTACTATTCTCAAGACGAGCCATTATCCAGTCTGCAGGTAGAAGTCCAAGAGTCACTCTCATTGCAACACCATTATATTTCATCACTGAGCTCGAAGCAAACGTTAATTGCACAACTGAGGAGTACTTTTAGGTAGTATTTTGGTACAGCAGCATCCAGATTTCTGAACTGGATGACGCTGTACACGAAACATATTGTTTCTGTTAGTGGTATGTTTGAGAACAGTGACACCATGTCTCTTCTGGATAGATGAAGTTCCGAGACTCGATCAGTAAATTTGAAGGTGTCGGAAACGCTGAGATCCAAGAGGGGTTCCCGTTAGAGGATCGAGAACTTTCACGAGCTATTTTACATATGTATGTTATGAAGAGTTCAGTATTCGACAAAGAGGGAGGCCAACTCTGTGCATTTTTGGCATACCACTCAAACGCAGAGTGGTAAGGGAAGAAGTGGTTCGTGGAGATAATTGATAGTGATTGATTTATCTCTCCTTTTCCTCAGCAATTCAAAGATTATCCTTTCTGTCTTTCCTCTCGGATATTTCAGACTTATTGACTTAGAGAATTTCTTCCTATCTAACAAAATAAGTGATATCTTGCCAACCTAGTCGCCTTTGTCCCGTAATTCCACTCCCCAGTTTTATCTGGGAGGATATTGATGACGTTTTCATATTTTTGGAGTGCTTCAAATTCATTCTGATGATTCACTGGCACAGCGTGTTGGTTGTTGGGTTTACTGTTGAGGTAGAGGAGATAGCCTTTCAGGGTATTTGCTTAGAAATTGTCAATATAATTACTAGATGCTGAAATTAGATCTTTTCTCTGACTGGTCAAGTTCTCGAACTGAATTTTAGCATTAAGTTAAATGATTTTCAAGGTGAAACCACAGAAACTGGGAAGAAGTGATAAGATATATAGTAGGATAAAGCGGATACACTTGAGTAGGTAAATACATACTTTCCATATGGACGGGAAGACAGTATTCAAAACTAATAGATCTGATGTTCTTCGCAAGCCTCAAATCTACATTTCGAGTTCGTTTCTAAATGATATAAGCAACGCATTCTTGAATTCATTTATTTTTTTGGGTTGATAGTTTGAATAAAAACCAAGGTATTTGTTATTCGTTTTATTCAAGTTTTGGTGGTCTTAAATAGACAGCATTGATAAACTTTAAGTAACGCGGCTTCAAGTTTGTGGATCTGGATGGATACGATCACGCCGAAGATTCTTCAAGGACACTTGTGAATGCTCGTGACTTTTAACACTCTCCCTGATAAAATATAATTCGTTTCATTTGTCTCGGGAAGTTTGTAGGAAAAACGCAAACACTTAAGAAGTTTCTGAAAAGCTGAAAGGTTGTTGCAATTCTTTAACTAACAAAAAATTCCCATTTGATTACTGAAAAACGAAGAAAAAGTTACAACGAAGAAAATTTTCTCCGCTGAGTTTTAAATGCGGAGTAGAATATAAAGATGGTAAGGTCTTTATTTCACTTTCTTTTGAGATTTTCAGTGGTTTGCACGTATTTTTCAAGTTCTATGCCTTACATTATATTCATTTCATTCATTGTGAAGTAGCGGGTTCTCAGGTATAACTTTTCGATAATCATAGTAAACACTAACTTCATATCAGAACAGCTCTCAAGGAAACTTCTTTCATTGAAAAGTTATATAGGTGACACTTACTTCTATAGATGAGCTGAAGAAACAGGGTACTTAAGTCTCCCTTATTATGTTAAACTTGTGATATTCATTGCTTTGATATGTAGGATGGAATACATAAATTGATCCTTTTCTAACACAGAATGTTTTGAACTCTGATCGCACTTGGGGAATAAGAAAATGGTTGAAATCATGGAAGAGTTCATCAACCGAGCCTTTGTATGCAGGAAGAGATGGTTGTCACCATTAACCTACCATGGTAAATGTCGAAATGCTTTGAACTAATTTTTATTAATGTCTTGTTTTCCCATTTTCCATCTCTTCCTCTACTTCGCATATTTGCCTCTTTACTATCATTCTGGTGTACTGCTACTTCCTCTTGAACTTCGCAGTTTAATAGTCAATTGACTTATCTCCATCGCCATTTTCATTGTTATCGTCCAACTATTACTTAAGCCTCCTTCAGTTTTACACTGTTAGCAAGCTTCTTAACTGATGGCCATTTACTTTGTTCAAAATAAAGTAATTTTTTAACTTTTTCAATATTCATATTTTCATTGTTGCCATTATCATTATCATCACTCACTTGTATACCACCATTATAACTAATATTTTTGTTTATCTAACAGCTTTTTTCCCTTAATGTGCACCTTTACCTAGCTATCTAGTTGACTAGTAACTGTTCTGTTCGAAGTGGTGTAATTCATCCCCAGTCCTTTTATTTTTCATTATCAATTCGTTACCCTGTTCCAACCTAATCTTAGGTCTGTTTGACATAAGTGAATGATTCAGTCCACGTTGACGTACCTCAGTCGTTGTCTTAGTCTGTATTACGTGCGTATCTTTTCCCAGATTGTATAATAGTATACAAAATCGTGTATGTAGAGTGAAAAGCCGATATATATTACTGAAAGTTATGAATTCAATAAATTCTGTTTTATTTATGTTTGTTGTTTGCCTTAATTTACGTTTTAAATACTAGTGTAATTAACTTTTTTAATTATCATCGTCTTGGGACATTGAAGAGGAGTGTGTGTAATAAACTAACTGCCAGTAATAGACTAGCTTGTCATTTTGTTTTCGAAAACGTTATTAGTACAAAGCCACCAGGGAGGAGCTGAACAAAAAGGAAATATTTCCTCTCTTGAATCATTCATTTCATTGATGATATTTCTGCTTCGAATCTTTAAACCTGTCAAAGCCTTCTGAAGGATGCTCATTTTCAACTGTTCACTTTTTCTGAACATTGTGCTGTAAGACTTACTTGCTACCATTCAGCCTGTATACTTCTTTTGTGTTTTTCATTTCATTTGGAAGCAATTTAGCTACAAAGAATAATCTATGACCTCTAACGACATTTTAGATGATATTTCCTAACAGTTATTTAAATCTACACCAGCTATCACAGATTACTGAAACACTTATCTTTGGTGACCACTGTCTTATGTATGGTTTTAATATCACACTCTTTGAAAGCGTATGTTATGCTATGTATTGACGTGTCAGTTGATGTGTGATCATAGACCAACTTGAAGAATCATGGAAATGTCAACCAATCGATGCATCCATGTGGCCTATCACCATCAATAAATATGTCCTGGAAAATTTATGATACGGGTAACATTCTCTTCCACTCATAAGCTGCAGTGTTTACACGAGGTCACTAAGCAACAGCACTTAAAAGCGAAATAATGACACAATTTATTACTGCCTAGTTTATTTTCTACACTTTTTACTTAGTTAATACAAAAAATGTGAAATGATATTCCTCGAAGAAAAAGATTAACTAGAAAGGTTACCTAAAAGTGCTAAGCTGTACACTCTTGTTAATAAATATCCAGAGCTTTTCATTAATAAAATCTGAATAACTTCTGGTAAGTTATGTACAATGATAACTGTTGTAAATCTGCCTGTAGAAGGTCCTTAAAGCTGATTACCACCTGTTCGCATTCATTAGTAAGTTATGTTATCCACCTTGGAGGAGTCTGTATTATTTCAGAAAGCAGGATATTATTAGAGTGTGAAACTTGACATGTGATCTGTTCATTGATTTCAAAGGATTCAGACTAATACAACCTGCAGGTCCCGGGTTCGATTCCTGGTGGATCCATGTCGTGAATGTATATTGCTAAGGAGGATCATACAAAGGTGTGCCAGCCA